TGGTGATGATTTTTAAATAATACATTATTTAAGTGATCAGTTTTCACTTTTTTTATTTTATGACCTAAACTAAAATTAATTTACAAACTACCTTAAAGTATTATAATTTAGTATTTGTTCCAATTTACGTACTTTATTAACTTTAAAATTAATGTTTTTTTTCAAATACAATAACTTACATAATTGAATATTCTTTGATTAGATCTTATTTTATTACATAATAAGATAATTCACAAAATAATTAACTTGTTATTTACATCCAACATGATTTTAGGATAATTCTCAATGTATATATATATTTTTTTTTTACTTACATTTATACCTGCGATGATTGTCCATTTTGCATAATCTTTCATTTTGTTACATTTGATTTGAATGAGATTATTTTTAATATAAACATTTTTAAGCATTTACTTTTAAATTGCTTTTTATAGTGGTGTATTATAATAAACGAAAAATTTATAATAGTTAAAAGTAATACGTGCTTGTGTTTTAAAACTTAATTACATAACCTATGTCATTTTGCTTAGAAAAGGGAATAAATAATTTATTTTAATAAGTTTATTTTTATACATTTCATTTGTAATTATTTAGAAAATCACTTTCAAAAATTAGATGAAACACATTTAATAAATGATTCAGACTGTTAATATATTTAAAAATATATACAAAATATATAACATATAATAATATAAAAATTGTACATTATATTAAAAAGTAATTTAAATATTATGATATAAAATTCCAAGATAATATTTTGTAATCAAATTTCACCACACTGGCATAGAACATTAAACAGGGACATTATATTCACTTGTTCTTCCTAATTGGCATCTGCATCAAAACTTATGACATAGTATGATACTACCCTTCATACATGCAAAATACGTTAATGGTTAACAGGATACTTTAAATAGGATACCTGATTTGTTGGAAGTAACCGTGTAACTAGATGCTAATTGCTACAGATCTCATTAAAATAATCTGTGAAAATGGTGTTTTGCTTACAATAATAGCAGGAAATGAAATCTTCAAATGTTTTTAATTATTCTTAACTGTCTTATTATTTATTTATAAATTAATTATAATTCAGAAATAAACGGTTTATTAGAAATTAGTAAATAAAAAATTATTATAAATCATATAAAGATTATTCTTTATATTCAAATAATAATTTAATAGATTACTAAATTAAATATTTAAAAAATGTAGCTTATGCATTATTTGGACAGTTTATAATTCAAATTCATTGACTTAGACTGAAATTTTAAAATTTATTGAAAAATAGTATCCTAAAATAATTTTTAAATGCTTACAGTATTAGGATTATATAAACGTTTGATAATAAAATAATAATTAAATAATTCTAGACTCAAAAATGTTTATAGATACTTATGTAGTTAAATATTCGTATATAACTTAAAACACTAATTCAATAAAATATTAATTATAGACTCAGACTAGTATAAATAAATATGTTTAAAAATATATCAAACTTTACAGATGTAAGAATTATTATGTAATTAATTACTTGTTTTCGTAGGAAGTTCATTACTTTCTAAGTTATGTATGAAGTTGACAAAAGTTCTATGAGTCATATAGTTGAAGTGCTATAAACTTAGAACTATTATAGTAGTATTTGTTTTTGTTCAAAAGAAGGGCATTTAAAACAAAAGACCTAAAAATAATGCAATTCCTCTTTAGAAACAAAAAAAATGCTTGCTGTGATTTCGATAAATCGTTTAATTGAATATAAATAATAATAATAATTTAAGAAAATGTTTTAAATTATATTTTATTCAGGTTTTATTCGTAACAAAATACCTATGATTTAAATGAAATAAAAATAAGGATATATTAGTTTTTATGAAATCATTGATATATTTTTGCTTTGATAATATACCTTAAGTGCACTGTTATTCTTAAAAATAAACTGTAGTGATATCGTTTTTTGGATTTATTGTATTTACTCAGAACTGCATAAATTCTTTAATTTTACACTGTTTATTTATCTATTTATAAACTTAACTTATTCTTAGAGTAAAATTGTGAAACATACCAATTTACTTAGGTTTTTAAAAATGCATAGGATATAGTAGAAAACATCAATTCAGATACTTTCCACGGTGCAATAAAAATTAATTATATTTTATTGAGATTTTCTCATGTTTTGTATTATCCTTTTGTATTATAATATAAATATAAAAGAACAGGCCTTTATGTTCCCATTTTGTGAGAACACTATTTAATATTTTTTCAATTTTTTTTACAGAGTGGTTCAAAATATTTTCCTAAGTGTCATCACATCGCCCGATTTTTATTTAATTTTTTTTTTTTTTTTTTTTTGTCTGAAGGAATGAACAAAGAAATTGTATTTATATAAAACGAACTGGCCTTTTTTATGTTCCTGTTTTGTGACGAAACTATTTAACATTTTTCCAATTTTTTTTTTTTTTTACAAGGTTGTACTAAATACTTCTAAAAGTGATCTATCATTCACAATTTAACTTTAGTTTATAATTAGTCATTTTTAGAAATTACAAGCTATACACATGCGAAGCCGGGTAATTCAGCTAGTATATAATTAACTTATTACCACCATTATTAATTTTTAAATCTAATTAAATATTTATATAATTCGATATATTTATTTATTAAATTAATCAAAATGGTTACGTAAAAAATTTCAGTTACGGTTTTTAATTTGCATTTTAACGTAAAGCAACCAAAAAATATAAATATTATTTTAAATTTTTTCCGTTATTTCACACATGTACCGTATGATAATATTTGATAAATAGTTTCCAGAAATAATGTTTATGTTAAATAATTTAAAAATAGTAAAAAACCCTCCATAAGTTACAAAAAACATATAAAATAAACGATATACCTATTTTAGTATTCAATGTATAATATTAAATACATTTTTTGTGTAAAACAGCAAAATAGTTTGATTATAGCGTTCAGAAAAATTATACAATGGAAATTCTTTTAAAATATCTTATTGCAAATAAAAAAAATATTAGAAAAACAAATATTAAAACTTAATATGTTATTTTATTAGTATGTTTAAAATAAAATTCAAATCAAAAATGTTTCTTCTATTTAATTGAAACGATAACTTTATCAGGTTTAATGTGCATCCAAATTTCATATTAAAAAATAATAGAATAATAATAGAAATTAATAACATTTTCTAAATCGTATTGCATACATAATCTTACCGATAGTTATTTATTTATTATTTTTTTTTTTTGTACTATTATAATTTGAAAAAAACAGAATGGTCTATTTGTGGCTTAAATATTTCTAAAAATAAAATTAGACAATTTGTTTTTAAAAACTTAAATTTTTCATCTGGTGATAAATATTTTAATTTAAATTAACTAGTGGTTTATTTTCTCCATTAATGTTTCCATTTACCTAACATATTGTTTTCATACATTTTATATTTTATTGAAAAATTATTTATTGATACCAGGTAACTTTCTTTAGCTATAGCTATTTAAACTTTTTTTATTAGCTTATTAATTTCATGATTTATTAAAAATATATTGGATATGGTATCTATTGGTGTCACATATAATTATAATTTATTGTTATTTTTAATTTTTTTTTTTTTTTGGATTTTTGATAAAATGTATTCAATTATAACATTATTTAGATATTTATGGGATTTTCTGAGTACTGTATATTTTATATGTTTCTTATAAATTATAACTTGTAATACCTCAAGGATAGCTGTTTCTTCATATTTGAAAAGTGAGCAGCTATCGCTAAGTTTATACAACGTTGTTTTATTGTAGAATATCATCGAAAAGTCTACTTTAACGTCAGTTTTAGAAACACCTGTATAGATTTCACAGTAGTTTTTTTAGTTTAAAACAAACTTTTAAAAATGTCATGATACATCTGTTGCTCGGTTAAAACGCATATACCTAACCTAATACATTTTATTTTATGTACAATTATCAATGAAGCTTATAACTTTTTTCAAATAGAATTTATTAGATTGTGGTCTTGTCGTCTTTTAATTTATTTTTTTTAGTTCATTGGTACTTGAGAGGTATAAGTTTAATATCGGTTTAGACTAACCTTACCAAGTAATTTAATAAAATATAATTAATTAATAGTAATAATATAAACATGATTAACTAAATAAAAATAAAAATATAGTAAAATAATGTAATATTATGTATTGTAAAAAATGATAATATATTTATACAATAAATTTATATATAATAACTATTTTAAAATACGGTTTTATAGTCTTTATAGTATATATTCTCAGCTTTTTTCACTAAACGGTTGTAATATTTATAATCATTATTATATATTTTGTGCTATCTCTGAACTATTTGAATAATGTACCTACATTTTCTTCAATAAGAAAATATATGTTAATTGTATAAGTTCTATAAATCGATTTTTTATAAAAAAAAAAAGTTAAATGAGATTTTTAAAAGTTTTGTGCACATATTTAAAGTTTTATTGTACAACAGTAATATACAAAAATGTCACCTATTTACTTAATTATTATTTTATACTTGAAAATTATTCAAAAACATATCATACCATTATTAAATAAATTATTAATGGTTTATACTCATATTATTATTAAAAAAAAAAAAAAAAAAAAAAAAATGCAGAATTTACAAAACTTCAGAGTTTATATTCTACATATTATATAACTTTACATTTACTATCAAATAATAGATAAATTTCATAAGTTTATCTTTTATTTGAATAATTCTAATTTAAATTTTAAGTAGATACTTAATGTAAATTTGATTTATAAAGTGCAATTGGCAAATTTTATTAAAAAAAAAAAAAAGCAGTATTTAAAAATCTAATATATTAGGTGAATATAATATTATAGAGTGAGGTATTTCTTATTAAAAGCATGTCTGTTTAACGTCTGTGTCGATTCTCATTCTATTGACATCGATAAGTAGCGCACATTACTTAATTATGTATACATGCAACCATTGTTGATTTACCTTTCCGTCTGGTTTTCGGAACCCCTCGTAAACTTTCCATATGAGTTCTGGGCCAGCTGAGCACACAAATTTACCGACCTCGAAGAGGTTAAGGATATTATTGGTGGACAACACCTGTGCACCTTGGCTGACAGACGATGTGCCTGATTTGAGTTTGGAGAACATTGTGCCGGCGGTAGACGGCACCGATGGCAGACTGCTGCCTCGCCGGAAGTCTGACCAACCTATCTTGTCGGATATTAGGTTGAGCTCAATAAATGGCCCGTGACTCCAACTAAAAGGAATCCGTTGAACGTACAGACGCCAGTTGGTGTCAATACGTCTATGTTGAGTCGTCTATTTATATACTGCAAAATAAAAACAATATTGACGATTGAATATTTTTTTTTTTTTTTTAAAGACAATCAATATATCATAGCAACCAAATTATACTATACTGTGATATACATATATGAATAAAAAAAAAAAAGAATAATAACGGTTCATTAATATCGAACACATATTGTCTCGTACTCCTATTATTACGATATAAAATATAATTCAATTCATGTAGGCGAGGATTATGGTTGAATTAAATCTAGTCTAGTAAGATATTCTTATGATCAAAAGTAAAAATATAATATTAAAACAAAATAACAGATTTTATAAATATAACCTGACCTAACTATGCTGATTACATAAAGTAACTATTTATTTTTACGTAGGATTTCATAAACGATTTATAGCACGATATTAAGATTTTAGAATTGATGTCGACAGTATATATTTGAATCAGCCATGTGGACATAGGACCGTTTTAACTAATTGAAATAGAAAGTTTAAGAGCCGGATGTACTGTGTTATATATAGTTACTCTCGGAGATCAAAAAGCAACACAAGTAACACAAGTTTGTCTTGGAATATTCTATATTCAAATATCATTAGCATCTCTAATGTAGGGGAAGATGCGTTTTCGTCGAGTAATATTCTCGAAAATTCAACATAATTTGTATACGTCTGAAATGAAAACGTGTAAATACATAATATTAAACACTCTGAAAGTTTAATTTCCGGTACACAGTGTTACTTTTTTGCCACAATTTATGTATTGTAATTAGTAGTAATATTATTGATTAATAGCTTAGATGATTTTTTTTTAGATTGCGACTGAAATAAAATGTATAATATATTAATCTTAAAACCATGTATTTACTTCCATAGAAAATATTTTAGGCTGAAATACTTTTTATCAAAGATTTGGCTTATTATCCATGAGATCATTTTTATAATTTTATAAAATAAAATATGTGTGTTCCTATAAAAAAATGAATATTAATAATATACTCTATTATAGGGGTATTTGGTCATAAAATTGTGTTTAGTAGTATAATTATTGATTAAGAGAGTAATATAGTCGAATAATTATCATAATATAAAAGATACATTTTTGAGACAGCTAAAGATAGTATTCCGAATACGTGGAAAAGATGATGTTGTTTTGCTAAGAGTATAGTAAGGAGATTGATAGTTTTAAAAATATGAATATAAGTTATATTTATCATTATTCAACTTGCTATATGAATTAAAGGTAGTGGACTCTAAGGGAAACTTTGAACAATAATATATTTACAGTGATAACGTTCAGTGAACTACTGAATATCCCTAGTAATAAATGTATACTATAATGTTATTGATAGAAAGACAGTAACATTTGATTGAATTATACTAACTCGTATAAGTGGACAGGTCATCAAATCATGATTTAAAATTCTTAACCAAGGGTTTTATTTTGGTAAATGATAAGTTCTGTGTCAAACGAAATTTAAAAATAGCAAGTAAAATTTCATTGTTAGTTGAGCTAGATTTAGAGACAACGGTTTAAAGTTTTTATTTGGTTGTGTTATAGTTGTACTAAAGAAAGTAACAGCTAAATGTTTTGAAGAGGTAGTTAAATAAAATGAAGTTAAGTATGCTGTATGGCTGAAAATATAAGAAAGCTGTATGTTGAAAAAGAGAACCAACAAGTAGTACGATTATTGTCGATTATCTAAAAGAAGCAGTAAATTACTATATACAAAATGAGAATCAAAATTACAGCAAAATACTTAGAACAAATACGTGTACTTGAGGAAAAGAAATCAAATAAAAGAACAGCAAAGCTAAAGAGAGAAAGATATGTGTTATGTATAGCAACTTATGAATAATCTGGATAGTGGTGAGAATAACTAAGTATAAAGTGGCACTATTAACAATAGGAGTAATCAAACTTTCAACAGACCCAATTGAGAATAACAAAAAATCATGAGAAAATGAATAGGTGTAAACATGACAAAAACGAGAATATTTCAACTCAATGTGGTACAAAAATCAGAAAACAAATGATGAAACAAAATGTGGATTGAATTAATATAACTTTATTAAAGTTTTTATTTAAATATATTAGTAAATTAAGTTTATTCTAACAAAAGAAATCAATCATCATCACTCATTTAGAATATTATTTAAATATTTACAACAAGATATTTGGAATGATTTTTAGACTATATACGCCGATATATTTGATCCTTCAATATAATACGTATGTATTTAATAATGTTTTTAATGCCTATATCCAAAGTGTACATTTTTTTTTATTGTTTGGTTTCTGCTGCTTGTAATGTGAACATATCAACTTTAATATTAGCTACCATTAAAATAAAGATTTTAAAGATTTTCGTTTTCATAAAATTGTTTGTTCTAAAACTACTACTAATTTTGACAAATCAAAACTCGTATTAACTTGATATCGGTCACTGTTTATAATTTAACAACAAAACGGCAAACCTTGAAATAAATAATATTATATTTAATTAATGATACAACAAATGAATGTATATTGCATATAAGACTCATATTATTATTATTGCTGTTAACATCATTGTAGATTTTACTATAATTTTTGTTTTTATATTATACCAATTTTGAATTGGGCTTTCTATCGAGTATCGAGTTTTTATTCATCGTGTCCTTAATATTACGTATACATTAATATATTTATATTAAATTTATTAAATATACATTATCTGATCAAATTTAACGTTATTTAAATTTCTAAGAATTCCATAGAATCCTTGATTCAAAATACTGTTCCGTAACGTATATACATACATCGATACTTATATTCTACTTATAAAATGCATTTATGTAACTCAATTACAACAAATAGAATTCAAAGTAAGTTGGATTTATACGAGTATTTCATTACGATTAGAATTCAATTTTAAACATTTCTATTTCCAGTTAGCTATTTTCCAAAATCTTATTTTTATGAACTTTCAATATGTTTTTTCACTACAGTGGTTACATTATTAAAAAGTTATGATAAATAATTTTTATTTTAAACCTTTAGCATTACTTACTTTATATTTTTTTAATATTATAAAAAAGTACTCATTTTTTTAGTTGATATATTTAGTATTTTTGTTTCATTTCGTAAATGTAATATAATTTAAAAAATGTTAAATTTGCTACTAAACATATTTTATTTTAATATATACTTATAATTATAAATATTTGTAATTTTTTATTTTTTATGCATACTTCATCTAGAAAAAAATATATTCTACATGATAATATGAAGTTAAAAATATAGGTTTTCTTTATAAAAATAAAAAAGAATTAATACGCCATTAAGAAATCAAAAATAAGTTATTCTTCAATTATTGAATATAAAATATTAAAAAAATATATTTACATACAATTTTAAAGTATTTTAAATCTTACACATTTTATAAAAAAAAAACTGAACTCTTTTTTTCAAGTTATATTTTAATACAGTTTTTTAAAATACGATTTGAATATTGATATCTATTTCTATTTTTAATTTTTTTTTTTTTAATTACTAATAGTGTTTATGTCGTACATTAAATGTTATAAATAAGTTAAAAACTTTTAAAATATGTGCATGATTTCATAGTATATTTCATATTTATTTTTGTGACATGTATTAAAAATGCATGGTGATTAATTATATCAACATAAAAATATTTTTGTGTGAATCTGGTCAATGTGATTTTCTTAAGTTTTTATAATAAAAGAATGATATTAAAAAAAAGATAATTATACATCAAGTATGGTGTGAATCACCTCGATGAAAACAAAATGTATAATAAAAGAATACATATGTATATTTTACTAAAAACTACAATAATAGCTATTATATTACAATAAAAAGTTTTATTTACGTAATATTTTTTCATTTATTTGTACTTGTTGGTTTGTTGGTTCAACAACATTAAATAATTTTTAATGTCATGTTTTTGATAAGAAAAAAACAAATTATTAAGATTTAAAGTATATGCTGTAGTGCTGTAACCTATTTCAAATGTACATTGTTTCGTTAAAACATTTTAGTGTTAAATCCCACAGTAGTTAGGTACAATCCCTTTTCACATAATCTCTAACATTGGTATGCATATTTACTGGATCGCTGCGCATGACACAGCTGGGTTTGGTCACATGTCACATATATACTGTCTAAACTTGTAATATATTATTATGTGTCATACTCTTGTTTGGTTTAGTAAGAGTTTTTATAAATTTAAAACTTACAATTTTCATTTGAAAATTTCCTTTTAATAATTATATTGTTTGTTCTAATTTTAAATTGTAAACAAGAGTTGTAGATTTACTTACAGTTAGTTATACTTCATGTGCATTTCGTATAACAATGAATGTCTGTTAAAGGCATGTTAATTAATACAATAAACAAGTTTAGAATCAAGAAAATTATTATAGATACAAAAATGTTTTTGACATACATTTGTCGAATGTTCAAATTTTGTTCACCATGGATGGTTTGCTTTTGTAGACAAGAGTATCAAAAAGTTTGCGAGGTTATAAAATTGTATTTTACATCGAAAAAAAATTCACGAGTTTTTTTTAAGGCACATGTAAACTATATTATTACTCCACAGATCACAAATTGCTAGCTTTAATATATATATATATATAAATGATATAATAAAAGACCTATGTATAAAATAATATAAAAATGGTTATAATTTTTATGAAAAGTTATCATACATTATTACAGTCTAGACGTTTTTTATTTAAAATGTAAAAAAAATATCAAAACTATTGTTAGATATTGGATGCATTTTATATAATACATTCTGAGAGAAAAATATTTTTACTAAAAAACTGGTTATACTAGTCAGTTTTCGTCACAATTAATCTTAATTGATGTAAGTAAAATAATAAAAAAAAAAAACAAAAAATTAAAAACATTAATTTACGAGTATATAGTATGTGAACCATAATTAATTTAATTTTAATCCTTGGGTGAATCATAACTTAATAACTTAGATTAGTTTACTACTTATTCGGT